TGGTGACAGATGGTGGGAACAGGGAGGGAAATAGAAAGAAAGTCTATCATGACTCTCTCTGGGCTGGTTACTCTGGAAGGCTTTCTATTCATCTTTCTGGCCTATGAGAAATATGACCACCTCTGTTTTATACATGAGAAAACTAAGGTTTACAGAGATTAAGCAACCTAATCACGATCATTAAACTTTAACGAAACTGGTCTGAAACCAGGTTGAATGCCGAAGCCCCTTCTTTTCCTGCTATAATACTTTGCCTAGCCTCTAGGGAAGGAAAATGAAGTCAAAGTGCCCCTGAACTTGTGAGCCTGGGTTCTAAGAAGACCTCATGACTGTGGACAGTGATAAGAACCTGGGAAAGAGGACCTTTCTGTAAAGGAAAACTTCAGGATTTCTATTTTGTTCATGAATTCTCCAAATGAAAGAGAAATCCTGCAGACAGTGGAGATCTATGGGGAAAGGGGATGTGGGCAGGGATAGTTGCATACTGAGAAGCCATTGGCAGACAGGTGGTAGGTGTCTGAGAGGTGGGAACAGACAAGCTCTTCTAAGGTTGAAACACAGAGGGGTAGAGACAGGAGAACCAGTGCCAATGGCAATGAGTCTTGGAAAAAGGCATGAGGAACAGGTCCCACCTGCTGCATATATGGTCACACGTGCAGGTGGCCATTCCAGCCTCAGGTGCTTCTCAGTGCTGCTGAGACAGTTCTGTTCCACTGACTCATTTTTCAGAGCACAACTCAATTTCCACAACCTCTATTAGAATTTCAGCTCTTATTCACCTGTGGAACCCCATAGTGCTTAACAGCATGGCTAGCACAGAACAGGTGCTAAATGGGTATTTGTTGACCCGAACTGATCAAAGAAACAAAAACTTTGAAGATGGTGGCTACTTATTCCTTCTGAGCCATACCTTCTCCATTTGTGCAACAGAATTAAATGAGATATGTAGGTAAGGCTGTTAGAACATTATCTGGAACATGGTTGTTCATTACATGGTAATTATTATTATCAGCTGGCAGAAACCAGGGACGTAGTAAAATAGAAACCTAAGAAGGAAAGCCGAACAATTTCAAGACCCATTGTGTACCACAGTCAGCTTTCTCTCTGATACAACATACATACGCACACACGAACATACACACACGTGCACACACACACACACACACACACACACACACAGGGACACACAGTAAAGGATGTTCAACACAATATAAAACTCTTCCTAGGCTGGGGAAGTGGTTCTGCTGCCTACTTCGCAAGCGCAAGGTCCCAAGTTTGATCCCTGCTACCAAAAACAAAACAAAACACCAAAACCTCTTCTACTGAGTTTTTCCTCCTCTGAATATAAGGATAGACCCTATAGTAATCTAACTTTGGTCCTACAGCGGATAGTTGAAATGACCTTTGTGGCTGGCATCATGATTTTAACATCAAAGTGGATGGGAATTTTGATTGCCAGCTAGTTAACAGGCGTACCTGTATGCTTTGCTATTTAGTGGATTCTCTAAGTAAAAAGTGTGCCTGCCCCACAGTTTGGTGGCTGCAGCTGCTTGAGGAGGGAAATATGATATCCAAAAATCCTAGAACCAGCAAGCATCACAGTGTCCAGCCTATCACAGACAGAAACCTCTGCTCCCTGACACAAAATGTCCTCTGTGATAAAAACAAAGCAGCTATGTGGCAGGCCTGCCCAACAGAACTTTCTTTTCAGCTGAGACCCAAGGCAGGTTGAAGATACCAAACAAAGAACTGGCATCTGGAGGCATGGCTGGGTGAACGGGCACAGGATTTTCAATGACCCAACAGCACCCTTTTATCACAGCATCCCCCTCCCGGTCAGCAACTTTCTCCTCACCTTTGGGCCTGAGTGTGTACCCAAAGCCTGGAGTTTATCGTCTAGAATGAGGACTCCAAGAACCAAGCCTCCTAGCTGGAGCTGGGGCCTAGCTCCCTTGGGACTTGGCTTCCCTGGAGATCAGGCCCAGGGGACCCTTGCTGCCTGCCACTCTTCTGCCCTCGGTGGTCTCACCCTCCTATCACTGAAGAGGGCAAGGCCAGCCCTTTTGCTTTCCTCTCCAAAGCCCAACCTCTTAGGTTCTGCTGGCCTCCCCTGCTCCCCTCCCCCACACCCACCCCCTTTCAGGCCATAAGGGACCTTTTCTATTTGCAGAGCCTTAAGAAGCTGGTTGCCAAGGTGACAGGAGCAGGAACAGCAGGGAGCTTGCCATGGGGGAGGGGCTTTGCCCCCAAACAGCTGTCAGTGGGAGCAGTCCCAGCTGGGACTAGAGGGTTTGCCTCTCTGGGAGGAAATACCCCCAGGAGGACACATTCCTCTTGGCTACACTGTGCCCCAGCCTGACTCCCAGCCACCTTCCCTACCATCAAGAGGCTCCACTGGCTACTTTCCCTGGGGGCAGGCAGCCAGCTCAAAAAATGCTCTGATAACAAACAAAACATGCGCAGTACTCTGCATCTAGCTCTCTCGCTCACATGTACAAGCATGCTCTTTGCTCTGGCTCCCGTTCTCCCCAGCTCATTCAGAGTGGGCTGGCTGGGCAGGAGGCCAGAAGTCACCTCTGCCTGGGGAGCTGTGGAGCCCAAGACAGGTGCTGCTCCAGGCTGCCGCCCACCAAGAAATAAGAATAATTCCAGAGGCCCCGAGAAGACCTACTGCTCCTAAGCCTCCCCCAGCTGCCTTCTATTTGGAAGGTGGGAGTGGGGGAGTGGAACTAAGGGCTTACAGGGAAGAAGCAGGGAGAAAAAAGAAGAATAGAATGGACAGTGGGAGGCAGGAACAATGCAGGGTGCACTGATCTGTGTCTCTGGGCTGAGGGTCTTTGTAGTTTTCAGCTCACCGCTGCTCTATAGAAAGTTCTGTGGGGCCACTGGTCTCTGTTTTGCATTACAGCCACATAATGTTAGTATCAGCACGCACTTAGGCCACTGATCTCAGCTCAAAAGGAGAGAGCCCACTACCTGCCTCTGCAAATCTGAAACTGCCTGAGCATCCCCAGGCTCAACTTTGGGTCAGGAACTGGAAAGGCCAAGAAGGTCCCAAATCACAAAAAAATGTGAGAGGCAACCTGGCTTGATGATTTAAGGGCATAGAAGCTGACTCTGGCAGAAGTGGGGCTGGGTCCCACTTATGCTGCTTACTACTTTGGTGACTTCCCAGGCTTTCTGTGTTAAGTGCTCAGGGAACCTCCACGAGTCTGAGTTTCCTCGTATGTTTTACAGAGCTCTACCGGGAGATGGGAGAAGTGGCCTGGATGAAGTGCCTAGCATGGTAGCTGGCGCGTGACGATACTCCAGAGATGCTTCACGGCCATGGTGGCCCAAGGACAGCTTTTGCATAGTCCTCCGAATTTGGGGCCTGGCTTAAATTGAGAGAGAAGCTACGTTTTGGCCAGTCAGGAATGGAGTTCTCAGGAAGTCCTGGGTCCTGATGTTGGGGGTTAGATGAAAACATAGAGGCAGTGTGGCCTCGAGGTCTTGGATCTAGCCCAAGCTGTATCAATACGCTATGAGATCCCTGAGTCTTCATCCTCTAAACCTCAGTTTCTTCTTCCATAAAAGGAAGAGGCTGGGCCAATCTCTGCAGAAAGCAGTGCCGGAGAGTGAGAAACTTTGAACCACAAGGCCGCTGAAGGAGGGGTCTGCCTCAGCTCAGCAGTGACCACAGGCCCTTTGTGATTTCTAAAACCTCACAAAGATGAACAAATGACTTCAGCATGGTTTCTTTCCATCTAAGTGATATGTGCTCTACTTGTGTTTCCTCTCTGTCCGGGATGCTTTTTCTACTTTGTCTGCCAGGTTTTTGCTCACCCTTCAGGACTCAGGTGCCAACCCCTATGAGGGACGGCATCTTTGTTGCAGCCTGCCTGGCAGTGAGCTGACCTTACTGTACCTAAAGCAGGGTTAGGAAACTGAAGACATTTGCTCATATACCTGGCTCCCTCCCTTTGCCTCTGTATTCTTTCAGGTAATAAATCACAGTTTGGCCATCTTGGTATTAATCTAATGACAAGCATATAGTAGGTTCTCAAGAAAACAATAAAACCAAACAAAAACCAGTTAGATTGGACTGTAAAATGGTCTGGATGAAGACATAAGGTAAGTGGTTTTCTCAGAGCTGGAACTGGAGTGATTTTTCTCTTTAATACCAAGCCATATGGTCCACCACTATATTTATTTCTGTGGTATTATGGTTTGGTCTTATTTCCTAGACTGATAAATCTGGCTTCTAGGGCTCTTGGCACATTTTCCCATTAAATGTTGCTTATAACAGGCAGTTCTGGGAAAAGCTTAGCAGGCAGGGAAAGGAGTCTAGCCAGGGAGTACTGATTCATCCCCTTTGCAGAATCTGCCTCACAAGTAATTGGCTGGGTTTTTTGTTTTTTTTTTTTTCATCTTCTGGATTTACTCTCAAGTGTCCCTTCACTGCAGTGCAGTTCCTGGCTAGGTGGTTCCTCTGCTCCTGCAGTGCTCAGAGATTAGCCCATAGCATAGCACTGATCACACTGTGCTACCCTGTACCCATCTGTCTCCCATTTAGACTGTACCCTCCTTATCTCACTGACCTCTACACATCCAGAACTGGCAACATGACTGGGAAGTGTTCACCTATACATGCCTATGGAATGACGAGAAAATAAACTTCGATTTCCCCATCTCCCTGTGTGGTTCTTACTTGTTTTTGGCTGGTTCCTATCCTTTTCCCTGAATTTCAAAATAATCCACTGCCAACCTCCACCGATTCAGGGTTGTGCTCCAAGATTCATCACTCTGCTACCATGCAGAAGGACTTGTTTGTTCTGTCCCTGTGGCTTTCTTAAAGTTACACTCAAAGCATTTAAAAGAATCCAGAGCTGACACGCACCTCAAGATTGGGAGAAGGAGAGGAACATGTGGCTGGAATCTTAGCACAACCATGAGAAAAGGAAGGCTTGGAAGCTTCCTCCTGACTCAGAGTCCAGGTTCCTTCTTTCCAGGGCCCTTACCTGGTGCAATGAGGGGGTGGGTGGCCACAGCAGGAACTGTCCGGCCGAGGCCAGCCCGGCCCTCCATGTTCCCTGGCAGGCTGCTGTTGCCATCTCCTTTCTTGAGTGGCTCCATCACACTGTCAGCCATGCCAGCCTTGGCACCTGCAGGGGAGCCCTGAGCAGTGTTTCTGCCCTGTGATGGGGTAGGCAGAGGCTGGCTACTGCCCAGTGTGGGTTTCAGGGCCAAGCTGGGCAGGACAGGCTGAGTGGGGATAGGGCCCGAGGCTGCTGCAGTTGGTGTCTGCTGTGTTCGGAGGGTCAGGTTCTGTACCTGGAAGAGAGGGTTCTGTGGGAGTCCAGAGAATGTGGGTAGGCATAATGCCAACACATAACTAAGAAAAGAAGTTTGCGATGGATTCAGGAGTGTCCTGAGCATGACAGTGGGTTGTAAAATTGAGAGGGGGCAGAACACCAGACAGAGACAGAGAGGCTGAAAGAGGAACCAGGAGCAGATGGAGTATCTAAAGAGGACAAAAAAGATCACTCATGATTGGGTCTACCAACAGAAGGAACTGAATTCTGACATGTGACTGCTGTCCAGGCTGGGGCCGGCAAAGGCAGGGAGGCCAGGCTCCTCACTGCTGCTAGCCTCTTTCCTCCCCCAAGCTATCAGAATTGGATGGATACACCGAGAAATAGCATGGGGCTTTCCATGCTGTAAAAGCCAGGGGAAAAAGTGAAAGTTAATTAATTAGCACGGTCACCAGGCAAAGGATTATCTTCTCCTTAGAATAAGGTAAACCCTAGGGCTTTATAAGACACCTGGCATACTTATTCAGCCTGGTCCCTGGCGCCCTCTGCTGGACATGTGGGCCCTGTGTCAGCTTCTCACAGCCTTGCTACCCAGTCCTCCAGTTCTGGCTCCATTTTGGAGATGGAGTAGGGAGATGGGAATGAGAAATTCTTTCCCAGCAGCCCACAGGATCTTCACCACGATGGTGGCATCCGTGTGCTCCCAGCAGAAGGAGGTAAGGTATCCAGGACACATCCTTATTTTCTCTTCTGTGCTGTTTTCTCCAATTTCTAGCAGTGCTGGCATATATAACCAGAGTGGGAATTTCCATTCTCAAAGCAGCGACAAAAAAAGCAAGTTATCCCAGAGATGAGAGGGCAATGTAAAGTACTAAAGCCTCAGAATGCTGTCCTCTATTCCTAACTATGCTTGAGAAGAAAACAGAGTCAAGGAGGGCTGAGGCCATCTGGATGGGAATCAAAGAGCAAGTCTGGGAGCATCTGCTTCCCTAACAGAATCCAATCTTTCCAAAGACTCAATGCTCCTCCAGAGCCGCCCATCCCCAGCATCCATCCTACCCTTCTACAGAGTTGCCCACCCCTACCCTCCCACAAGCATGGGATCCTCACCTGGGCAGGGGTTGGGGGCCGGGCGGGGGAGCCAGTGCCGAGCTCAGGCTGCACAGTAGCGACGGTGGCCGTGGGCGTGAAGATGAGCTGAGGGGACAAAGGAACAGTGCCGCCTAGGCTCCTAGCTACCTATACCAGGTTACCTGGCTGGGCCCGGAATCACAGGCAATGAGGTGCCGTTTACCTGCTCAACATGAGCTCAGCCACAGGATGGAACAGTTTAGCCAAGGTAGACATGAGGATGGCTAGGGACATCCTCAATAAAAACAGGAGGCAAGACAGGGTAGGAGTCCTAAAGGACCGCTTGAATGTCTCAAGAGGCTTGAATCATGCTGACCCAGGCTGGGCAGTTACGGTGTGGGGTCTCGGAGGCTATTCTGGGGCTTCAGAGTCTTGTGCAGGGTTTATCCTGGAGGGAACCAATATTCCTGGGACATGCTGAAGCCATTCTTTTCTCAGAGTCCTGGCAAGCAGAGACCTTGGGAAGATGCCTGAGGATTATTTCCCACGTCTAAAGTACCCTGACTCCAGGACTAGGTTGGAACAAGACTCTCATACAGAAGCATTTAGATCAGATGTATGCTTTTGATCATTTTCTGTTCAGGTTTTTACTCAGGGACCTAAAGGCAGCAATGTCAGAAGAAACAGACAGTCTGGATCTGTGGAAGTATCTCAGTCTCAGCTGGAGGGGCATAGGCTATTGATGTTGCTTGCTTGGCACCTCCACCTGCAGGTGGGTCTAGCTCTGTGTCTGTGTGGGTAAACTAGTGCCAGGGTGCTTTCCCTGCAGCTCTGTGACAATGCCTTTGGGAGTGCCCCTCTGTGTGTATGTCCTGATTTTGAGGGGCAGCAGGCAGATGTCAGACCTCAGTGGGGGTGCTGGGTGAGATGTGACAATGACTAGAGTGAAGGAGAAGGCAGGTTTGGGTAGGGTCATTATGGCTGGCAGTTTGCTGGGGAAGTGGAAGTCTATTTCTCGCTGTGTGTCTAAGAGGTATTTTCCAGGAATGGAGATGTGCCTCAACTGATGAACTCCAAACCATGAACACAGGCATGGGAACAGGACTGGAAAAGCTACAGCTGTCAAGTTCTGGCCATAAGAGAAAAGGAGGGGCAGGACTACACTGTCTTCAGGACAGTGTGACATGGAGCCACAGGGAAATCTCTTCAGCATGGGAGGTATGAGATATGACTCTGTGCTTGGAATCTAACACAGTAACACTGTATGTGTTTCTGCCTCCTAGGGAAAATGTTGCTGTTGTCCCAGGAAATTCTCCGGAATCTTAGAGGGCCCTTCTCTCCCCTCAGGCACAGGTGCAAAGAAGAAATTCCAGGCATGATGTTGAGATGTATACTAATGTATTCTGCCCAGATCAGCTCCCCTGTCCCTTAGTAGAAGGGGGTCCAGCAGGGAGGGCAGCAGTGGCTGCAATAGCAGCAATAGCAGCTAGCTAGAAGCTTACCCTCTTGGGCTACAATGTACCTTTGGCCTCCGAGTTAGAGGTGGCCAGTCCTTAAAGGATTGCCACGAGGGGATAATCCTGTTTCTGTGGAGCATTTGATGTCTCTACATCTGCTCATCTTACAGTCTGAGTGCTGAGGACCATCTGGGCATGGAGCCCTGCAATGTCTACTCTAATTGGTTCTGAAGAGCAGTTTCTGATACTTGGTTTCACTCCAGGGGAAGAAGGAAGGGTGACATCCTGGGTGACTGTCTCAGCTTAGAACCCATCCTTCCTTGAGTCACAGAGCTTACAAAACCATGGCCCACTCAGCCTTCCAGGCCCACCCTTCTTTATTCTACCCTCTTTTTCTTGCCCCCAACCTCTAGCGCTCCACCCTCCTTCTTTAGTCACCTAGCTCGCAACTTCTCTTTGTCCTCCCAGCTCCAGAGCCAAGACCCAGGCTGTGAGTACTTACCATCTGTGCCCTGAGATACATCTGTGCTTGGCTTGCAGTCAGGGCTGGAGAAGATGTGTTGCCCAAGAGCACAGCCTGCTGGGCAAGGCCTGAGGCTGTGGCCGAATTGACACTCTGGGCCCGGTTGATGAGCTGGGCTGCTGCTGGGGAGGCTGCCAGGTTGATCTGGTGAGAGAGACATGTGAAGTAGAAAACAGGAAGTTCTAGGGGTGAACTGTGTCCTTCTCATCTACTTACTACCCTTCCTGCTCTTCTGCCCCCTGGACTGAGAGTCTCCCTTAGGACCATCGCTGGTGCTTGAGCCTGGGAGTTTCCCCCTGGCCTAGCCGCAGAGAGCACTTGATGTTGAGAGAACTGAGGTAACGACAGAGCCTCGACAGTGGGAAGATGACAGGGTGTTAATACAAGGGTTAGAAAGAGACCACACATTTTCCCCTCTTTGCAAGAGCAACAGATGCCAACCATGATCCCATGTGGCGAAGGATTCCTCACAACTGGGTCTAGAAACTCATAAGCGTTTTAGGCAAGGAGGAAGGAGCTGGTCCAGAGCGGTGGACTCTGCTTGCTACCCTACCCTACTCACCGAAGATGACTGGGCTGGGGCCTGTGCAGACACACTGCTGCCAGAAGTACTCGCTTGTCTGTTGGCCACCAGGCTTGCCTGGAAAAGAACAAACTATAGGAGTATCTCACTCTCTAGCCCCATTCTTCCAAGTCACTCATTCTTGAGCCTTTATCTTCCAAGGAGTACCTGGGACCATGGTGAAGACAGCAGGCTCTGGAGCACAGTCCCACCTGCCTCATTCACGTGGCCTTGAGCAAAAGCCCAGTTGTGCCTACCTTGAAGGGTTGCTGAGAAGACTGAACTGAGCCTGATTCTGAGCGCTCTGACTGCCAGCCATTACTGCTGCTCAGCATTCCCAGCTCTCCCCAGTGCTCCCCCACCCACTTGACCTGAACGCCTGGCCTGCCCTTCTGCTCTGGCCAGCTTCTTTTCATCCTTTGAACATCCCTGACCACTCAAAGCAGTGGCATCCTCTGTCCCTCGTTCATGGCAGTCTCTTCTTGGCCATAGCTTATCACAGCTTAGATAGTTAAAGTTTCTTTGCGTATCTGGGTTCCTGTTTACTGCTGTCTCCTCACCCTAAAACTCCAAAAGGACAGGGTTCACAGTTTATCCATGACATGAGCGTTATATGCAGTAGGTGCATAAAACATTTTGTCAAATGACAAGTACATGAATGAATGTGTTCTTCTCAGTCACTGGGAGGAGAGAGAGCAATGTCAGACAGACTAGCTCTTGCAAGCACATTTGTAGAGTTGTGGTTCTTCCCTGGCAGTGTGGTGGTGTGGACAGAAAGGGGCTCTCTCAGCACCTCTTCCCTGGTCTGCCCAGGGCAGAATTTCAGCCATTCCACTCACAAGTTCTGTTCCTCATTTACCAATAGGACATGATGGCGACAGCGCCTGCTTTGTGAGGGTTTTCTGAGCATTGTAAGAGGGTACAGGGGTTGCACAGGGCATACCTGCCTCCTTTCCCTGTCATTCACAACCTCAACCCAAAGGAGCTTTGGCACTTATGCCCTGTGATTCTCACCTGCTGTACGGCTGCCAGGCTCTGGAGCTGGGCACTGCTGAGCTGCTGCTGCTGCAGGGCTGCTGTCTGCAGCATGAGGTGCTGCTGCTGAGCGGCATACATCTGCTGCAGGTACTGAGCTGCCGTGCTGGGCTGCCGGTGCAGGGCCTGCTGGATTACCTGGGAGGGCGGCAGGGGAGCTGGAGCCATCACCTGCCATACCACAGGCCCTTCTGCAGTCATGCCTTGTTACCTCAGTCTTCCTGACTGCTCAGAGAGGTAGTGCAGACCTCTTGGAGTGGGAGTAGGGGGCAGGGAAACAGCCCTTCGCAGAACTTTAGAACTGTTTTGTTTTTGTGCCTGTCCTGGGCTCCTCCCTTTCAGGCCTGTTTCAAAGTCTGCCATCACAAGGAGACAAAGCACACACCACTACTCTCAATTACACTTGGGGAGATAGAGCCTCCCACGCCAGCCTGGCAGGCACTCCGCTCCCCCACACTATGCAGCCTCAGATGACGGTGATGCTTAATAAGGCAGAGCACCAAAATGGGCTGGGAAGAAAAGCCAAGCAAGATGGGCCTGTTCCAGATTCTTCAGCAGCGGCCAAAATCAGACTCCTGCCAAGGCAACTAACAGCCCCAAGAAAGCAGGGCTTCAAGTCTGATCTGCTTCTGCTCCCCAGATTCTGCCCCAGCTCCCAGAAAGTCCTCCTAGTCCCTGAGAAGGTCGTTTTAGCCTAGCAGAGCAGGCCTGTGTCACAGGGATTACATGTTTCACTTTGATTCTCTCTCGCCTTTTCCGTCCTTTGCTCCCTCATTTTAGCTACTGCCTCCCATTCTCTGGCCTTACTGCCTATTCCATCCTTCTTGATGGTGAGCCCCAGTCTCTAGGAAGTGATAAAAGACTATTCTTTGGTTCTCCAACACCCTTAGGAACAAAGAAAAGTAAATGCCTTTCTGCAGTCCTAAGACTCTGTCTTTTTCTCAGGAGGATCAGAGACATTTCTTTTCCTTTTTGCCCCAGTCCACTCATCCATCCCTTGCACTGGCCTGGCCAGGAGTTGGTCTACCTCCTGCTCTTTGTTTTCTGCAATCTCTGACCCAGGACTGCTCCTGATGCTTGTCCTTGTCCCTCTGTTCAGGATCTTTCTAGCCTAGTGTGATTCCTTGTCTGTTCCAGCACAAAAGCTCACACTCAGATTTGGGGTTCTGTAAAAACAGACTGAGATCACAGATCCTCCAAGGGATCCGGTATGTCCCCAGACACTTCCCATATCCCCAGCACTTGTGCATACTTCCTTAATTCCTCTCTCCTTCAGGGTACTTTCATCTCTGGGATCCTATCTATATGAACTCAATTCTCTTTTTATCCCTTGCTGTCCCTGGAATTATTTCCTCTTACTACCTAGGCTTTTCTGTCTTTCTTGGACTTCTAAAAATGACCTCCCAAGAGATCCAGCAGCAGTGGCTGGTTCTGCGATTCCTCCTTACAGAGGGTGTCACTGATCAGAGTCAGGAGCAGCCCCCAGGGGTTCTGCCTAGGTGCAGAATGCAACATTGGCTTACTTCACTTGTCAGAGGAACCTGGTACCCTTTTGCCTAGATTTCTGAGTGTGGGAGGAGGCAGGCAGAGTCTAATGCCAGATCCTGGAAACCCAAGCTACAATAGCCAGGGGAAGAGGCTGCATCTAGTCAGGAGTGGGAGCAAGAAACATGGTTTGAAGTGTGTGGCAGAGATAACTGGGAGAGGGGACAGTCCAGAGCATATGATAGTCTCCTCTTTAATCAGATTTCTCAGGCTGCTCACTGTCTTCTGCGGCTTCTCCCGGATTCCCTATCTGGGCCTAGAGCCAAGGCAGGATGAGGTCATTCTTCTAATATATCCAAATTGTAACAAAGTTACTTAGAGTAAATATTTCTCAGCTGCAGTTTCTCTTTTCTGCCTGTATTATTCAGGAACTGAAAACAGATATTGTTGTGATTAAGAACACAGGCATGGGGGAGAGATAGCTTCAATTTTTTTGTCCAGTGGCTTTGGATAAGTTATTACTTTTCCTGAGCCTCCTCCATTTAATCCATTATAGAAATGTACCTAATAGTAGCTATTTTCATAGCCAGGAAGAAGATAAATAAGCAAAATTTTAGTACAGTACTGAGCAGATAGCAGACAGCAATGCAAGGTCATATTAGCATTTTGAAACAGTGAATAGTCACCTGAGAGCTGGCCCTATGAATGGTCTTTGCAAACTCTAGGAAGTCAAGGAAAAACCTGAAACTCAAACTCAAAGACAAAGGACTGTTGGGGGAGTCTTTTTTGGTCTTCCGTCTTTGAGAAACTTAGATATGTTTCTCATAGAGCACTTGTTTAGATAATGGGTTTGGGTTATATTTGAGCAGCCTCCATTTTTGATATTTATCCTTTTTTTCTTGTCTGCCCTTTATACCTTCACACACCTAGTTTCCCAAAACAGCACTCAAGGACCTACACCATCAAGTAAGAAAGGGCTTTTTTGTTTTCCTGATTTGCTAAGTACGCTCCCTTTTCCAAACTTCTTTGATTTGGCCCACCTTGAAATACTTCCCTTCCTCTATGCACACATATATATCCATGAACTTGTTCCTTTTTGCTCACTATGGAGCCCTCCAGGTTATTTCTACAAGATCCCACCCATACCTTCTCCTGGCAAGCCCTGTAGTGAATGAAGGAATAAAATCCCTGCACAAATTAGAACCTTACCTGCACAGTCTGCCGATCAGGAATTCCACTGTACACAGAAATCTGGGGCCCAGTGAGGCGGCCATTGCCACCACTGCTGCTATTGCTGCAGCCACTGCTGCTGTTGGCCCCACTGGTGCTGCTCGTGGCACTGGCACTGCTGGATGTGTGTGGGACTGGCAGCTCATTCTCCATGGCCTACAGGGTGGCACAGTCAGGGTGCTCAGATGGTAGAACAACAGGCAGATGCTAGGAGGGAAGAGGCAGGAGTGAGATGTTTAGCAAATGCTTATATTAGAGAATGCACATGGTGTTGGGCCTCTTTACTTAGGTGTTCTACACTGTGAATTCAACCACCATTGGATGGAAAATATTTGGGGAAAAAAATCTGTGTGGAACTTGTATAGACTTTTTTTCTTGCCATTGTTCTCTAAATAATATAACAACTATTTGTATAGAATTTAATTGTAGTAGGTAGTATAAATAATCTAGAGAACATATAAGTATATGAGAGCATGTGCAAATACTACACCATTTTATGTGAGGAAATTGAGCATCTTCAGATTTTGGTATCTGCCAGGAATGCTGGAGCCAGTCCTCTGTGGACAAGGGAGGACTGTATGGGCATCAGTTGCTCAGCTGCCCCAGCATGGGGCTACCTGTGAACTGAAGTTTGAAGACACAGTTACCACCAGAAGGACAGGGACAGACTTGGTTCATTAGGTGGGGTGTGAAATCAAGTCTGCCTTATTCTAAAGCCTGTAACCTGTTCCTTCTGTCAGCAGAGGTAAAACTAGCAAAGGAGCCATATTTCCTATACTTTTCTTCCGGGTAGTGATCGTAGGGATCGTCATCCTGTCAAGCTCTTCCTCTGTAAGGATGAGGAAATGAACATCAGAGAACTTATTGTTGGTCCATATACCAGATGGTGACAAAAGTAGAACTGAAAATCTAGAAACTGGGCCTGTCAGTACACATCTATAACCCTAGTACTCTGGGAGGTTGAGGCAGGTTCAAGTCCAGCCTGGGCCAGACTCAACTCAGAAGCAAAATAAAAAATTAAAAAGTTTAAAGGGCTAGGAATCTACAACGGCTCTGTCCTAGTACATGCTTTTGGTAGCTATAGCTGAGTTCCAATGGTACTCTCTGCCTTCTCTTACTCTCCAGACTGTTCTCTCTCTTTGGCTCTCTCCCAATCACTCATGAACAGGACAGAGTGGGGGGAAGGAGGGACTGAGTCTGACTAGAGGATCAGGGGATTAATCATTTTAAAATGTGCAGTTCAGAAATATTTACTACACTCACAATATTGGGCAACTATTACCACTACCTATTTTCAGAACTTCTTCACCACCCGAAACAGAAATTCTACAACTATTAAGCAATAACCCCCAATGCTCCCGTTTTTCTACACAGCTTTCCTGGTAGCCTCTAATCTACTTTCTGTCCTTATGAGTTTGCCTATTGTAGATATCTCATATAAGCAGAACCATACAATAACTGTTCTTCTGTGTCTGGTTTATTTCACTCAGCATGTTTTCAAGGTTCATTCATGTTGTAGCCTGTATCAAAATTTCCTTCCTTCTTATGGTTGAATAATATTCCAGTGCTTATATACATACACCACATTTCTGCCTTTTGACTATGGATATTATGAAAAAGACTGCAATGAACACTGGCATATAAGGATCTTGTTTGAATCTTTGCTTTCAATTCTTCGGATATGTGGGTAAAAGTGAAATTCCTAGATCATATGACAGTTCTGTTGGGGCATGTGACAACCCAGTTGTACTTACATCATTTGTGAAATTACCACTGTGCATTCCTGGTCCCACTCGTTGAACTGCTAAGTGCATATGCTAAGTCTCTCAGGTCTGACCTTGCCTGCCTTCCTCACCTCATTTTCCACCACTTTTCCACACTATACTCCCACTGGGATCAGATTTTTCTTAATGGCCTGAAGCCTTGCTACTTGCCACCTTGGTTTGGTTGCTGTGAGTTACTCATGCCGTTCCCTTTCCCTGAAATGCCTCCCTTCCATTTAACCAACTCCTTACCTCTTCAGCACAACCTGAGCCTCCCATGTGAAACACACTGAATGCAGCCTCTTCAACCTCTTTTCCTACTTCCTTCAAATTCAGCCTGAATTTCTCCTTTAAGCCATCCAGCTAGAGGGCTGCTCTCACAGCTCTTGGTACTTGTCTCTGTCCTAGCATGCACAATGTAGTGCTGCAAGGAAGTGATCTGCTTAGAGGATTCGTTTTCTCCTCTGGATTCTGCACTCCTGGAGGGGTCACGTCCTATTTTTCCATGAATACCTGGTACTTCATGCCATACATGCTTGTTGAACAACATTTCTAGAAATGTACCACACTCCATTATACTGCTCATCATAAAGTGTAGTTTAATTTCCACCTCATCTTCAGAATTCAGCTAGTTTAAAACAAACTATCTGTAATTTAGTTTCCATATCTTTCATTAATGGTGTCTTTATTGTCAACAGCGATTATTTACTGAATACCTACTACTTGTCAAGCACTATAGTAGATGCTTTATATATACATGTGACCTCTCCTATGGCGTAGTTATTAATATTTCAATAAGATACTTATTTAACTAATTTATTCAAACCCCGAAGCTTCAGCCATAATTTCACCTTGAGCCACTACTTCAATAACATTGAACAGTCCACATCAGACACACTGGAGTTATAGAACTGAAAAAATCTGAGATCATGGAATTTAATCCTTTACTTATTAATGTCTATCAAACATTTTATACTAACAAACAAATCTCTCTATATTATATACAAAAAGATTCTACGCATGGGCCAGGGATTTGGCTCAGAGGTTCTGCCACCTTCCTCGCAAGTGCAAGGGCTGGAGTTTGATCCCTGGTACCAAAAAAAAAAAAAAAAAATTCTATGCACGTATACCCATCAACCAGTTTAAGAACTTGAACATTACTATAATCTCCCCCACTTTTCTGTGCAAAAAGGTAGGCCCAATTTTTGGAGGAGTGACTTATCAGTGTGACCTGGCTCCTCTGACCCTCCTCCAGTGTGATGGAAGGCACCCTGAAAGCCTAGTGGACTTATGGTGGTGGGGACTTACTCAACCAGAGGTCCTATGGAAAGTCCCTAAGGAGAAAGCAAAGCAAAAGTCCTGCCATATGTTATATTTTCACTGATCTCTTAGTTGCAGGGAACTTGAGTTTAGAACAATTAATCAGGAAGTATGGGTTATTACAGCAGTTTTTTTAGTTTTTCTTCTATAGTTCCACTCTTTACAGAAAAGCTCTGTATTTCCCCATTCTCATCTGCCCCTACTTCAAGGCTCTGAGGCTAAGGGAAGAGGAGGCATCCTGGAGTTTCAGTGGGGGTCACTGAAGAGTCTGTAAACTATCATTATACCCTGCCCTCTAGTATCCCACACTAAAACCTAAATCCTAAAACTTTCAGTGTCTGTGCTTCGAGGATGTTAGCCATTCCTATTGTTTTCTTTTAATTTCCACTCTCATTCCTCTCTTCTCTTCATAACTGCCTTATTTCTCCCCCAAGGCCACCCATCTCTACGCACTCCCACTGTGAACCGCAGCCAAATCTCACTCATGGCTGACAGCCAGAACGGGAAGTCTGTTTTTCTGTGGGTTCCAACTCACTGTGTGGTTTTGTGTGAGCCCAAGCTCTGAAAGGCTATGATTCCTATTTCAGTCAGTTCTCCCCTCCCAACCACAAGGGATCACTTTGAATGATGTGCTGACTGTAACTGGCTTGGATAGTGATCTTATTACAGGTCTCTGTCGCCCACAGGGCCTGAGACCAGCAGCTGGAGAAATGCTGATGGTTCTGCCTTCCAGGAGCCGCCAAGTCTAGGAAACACTAGGCCTTTGTCCCCAGGGTCAGGGAAATCCATTTGCTGTGGATTACAGCTGTGACAGTGTTCCAGGGGAGCAAAGGGAAAAGATACTGAAAACAGAGCTCTCCAAAGCTAGTCTAATACCCTGGGGTATGGCAGGTGAGGGTTTTCTAATGGAATCAGAGCATGACAGGAAATGAGAGGTCTAGTTAGTTCCATAATGGCTGCTGCTGGTATTATGCCTGTACAGCATATGTGTGGAGGGTCTGAAAAGGCAGGATGATGAAGTTTCTCTTTGGTTGCCCCTCTCTCTGAGATATAAGGTGGTAAGAAAAGAGGTCTCAACTCCCTAGACTTAGGAGACCTAGGGGAGACATTCTCACACCTCCACATTGCTGCATGAACCTAATAAGTAGCTTGATTTGTTCGGGTGACACTGTGCCTCTGGCAGGAGTCTGACACAACTGACATACTGGAAGCAGTCCAAATGGACGCAATCCAAACCTCAAGACCTGCTCTCCCTTTTCCTAGACCTCTGCATGTTGCCACCTTTAGTCTCTCTAGAAACTGAAGTAAATAAAATGAAGGCCAACAAAAAAGTGAAGGACATGAAGTTAAAGCCAATCATGTAGTCCTAGCAATCAAAATAGAATGATAACACTGAAAAACATAAGCTAAACATATAAAACCTATTTCTGAAAGCTTACTATTTTCTTCATAAATTATAAACGGCAGATTATATCACATATTTATATTACAAAGTGGTACAGATTAGTAGAAAAGTATGAAGAAGAAAAAGAAGGATTTGATCTTTTTTGGAAGGGACATATAGTTTGAGGCATGTTCTGCACACGCCGAGTATTTGGGGACTTAGGAATGAAGTAAGTTTGTCTGTACTCAGCCACCTTTAGTCTCACTGCTTTGGAGGGCATCTGAATCTCCTTTGAGCCCTTAACCCAATATAAGTGGTGTTCCTATTTAAAAGGTCATGTAAAGAGATAGGTCCACACAGGGATAAGACAGCCATGTGAAAATGGAGGCAGAGACCAGAGCCATGCTGCCACAAGCCAAGAATATTTGGTGTCATCAGAAGGTAGGAAGAGGCATGGAAGGATTTCCTGCTAACACCTGATTTCACACTTTTAGTCTTCAGCCATCCAATTTGTGGCACTTTGTTATGGCAATCCTAGAAAATACTAAATTAAATTTCCTAGTACTAATCCTGATCAGTCCCAAAAGGTCAAATAAAGCCAGTAAAAAAAAGTGTACAAAGACATTTTAAAAAAAGCCTTTTAATGTGACTGCTTTAGATGCTTTAAGGCAGGGGTCCTCAAAATGCAGTCCCTTGGCAACTCTTCAAATATACCACTTTGAGGCCCTACTTCAGACCTA